ATTTCAGAAAACACTTTTTGTTATATTCCATGGAATGCTCTTAACGTCCCGATAGCAATGAATATATTAAATGCTTTGACAATAAATACATGCAAAAATTAATCTCTGGAAGCCGTAGCGCTGTAAAAAGCACGGCATTTTAGCCGGCCCGGCTAAAATGATTGGATGGCCTACCTGCCTGTCAGCCTTCCATCTGTGCACAAACTTATCTTGTGGCCTCATTGATGATGCGCGTTCGTGTGTGTTGGAGGAGGGACTCTGTCAGAAAGTCTGAAGGAAGAGGCAGATTTTTTCCGCTTGTGTATTTTCAAATTCTAGCGCACTCGAGCTGGTTTCTCCTTTCTTACCTACCCCACCGTTAACTCTTTTTAGGGTGCAGCTATATGTTTTATTTATATCAAAGTGGGCCCATTTTAATAATATTTTTTTTTCCTTCAAATGTGCAGAGGACTCCCCAAGTGCTGTGTTTCATTTATTTTAAAGTAGGCCTGTGTATTATTTTTAATTCTCCTTATAGGAGTTCTTTGTTTCTTATTAGAGGTTAACAGTTTTATATCATGTAATAAATAGCCTAATACATGCAAAAAAAATGTAGTTTTTGTCTGATATAACAATAAATACAACTTTATTAGCTATCAAGCTATGAAATATGTTTTGCGGCTCCAGACAAAAAAATGTTTTGGAAAAAGGAGCAAAATGGCTCTTTTGGTCAAAAAGGTTGCAGACCCCTGATCTAATCCATCGGAGGCCAAGCAAATCTTCAACTGTAAGTAATATAAAGGAAGAAAACAAGTTAAAAATGTCTGTTTAAGGCGTCTAGTGGCTTGATAGATAAACAAGGAAGGAAGCCATGACAAACCTGTACATAGATTAAATGACTATGTGATTAAGTCTTTTAAAGAAAGCGGCCTTACCAAAGCCAAGCGGCTGTCCCCCGATACGAACCATTCGCCACAGCTCCCCAGAGGAGCTGGTGAAGAGGAGGTCAGCAGGAAACCTGCAGCACAGAGTTCAAGCTGAGGTCTCCCGGGCAACCGAGAGCAGACATACACAGAGACATTTCAGAGATGGAGGAGGCAATATCCTTTAACGCAAGCCCCAGATATAAGCTAGCAAATACTGACATCCGCAAAGCAGAGACAAAACAAAAAAGGGATACAATTGACTTGCTAGCTGTAGTATGTAATCAAGGAATGTTCTTTTTTAAGGTGTCAAGAGTATGCTTTTCCTTACTGTCTCTGAGCCTCAGTGTCCATCACCAGTGAGATGTAGCCATCGATGAGGGAGAAGGAGAAGAACTTGATGCAGTCCAAACCCTGGTTGGCAGCATCCTCCTTAGGACTGCAGAGGAGAAGAGGCCATTGGTGAGACATTACCGAGCAAATAGAGCACGAGGAGGAGAAGAAAAAAGCATTATTCAAAAGGAATAGAACCAAAACAATAAAATAGTTCCAAAATGTGATTAAATATTGTAAATAATTTGGATCTATATTATAATCAGAGTGTGTGAAAGACATGTGGCTGTGTAGACAGGAGTGTATTTCATTTCAAATGTTGTAACTGTAATGCAAGCCTTCCTATTAGTGGTTCTTCCTCTAAGGCAGGGGTCTCCAAACTGTTTTCACTGAGGGCCACATACAGAAAAACATACAAAGGGCTGGGCCACTCACTAGAGGGGAGTTATACTGCCTCATAAGTTAAGTTATAAGTTAGCAAAACCAATCAAATACATTCAATGATGCTTGATATTTGAATATAAAGAGCCTACATCACAGCTCTCCATAGCTTTTATTTTATTTTGTTACAAAAAGTGTTGGCAGCTCATTCCTTAAAAAGAAGACTCAGATTGCTTATAATAAGGGGAAATAGTAAGTTATTGAGCTTTTTTTTTTTTATCAACTAAGATTTTCTAAAAATGTTTCTGAACTTTTATTGACTGAATTGAATTGAAGATGGGGATTATTGATACATGAATACTACTGTGTCATATATGTTTACATATATATTATAGAAGTACATCAGTGTTTTCCACAGATCTGAAATATACTTTTGTTGGGAGCCGAGAAAAGGGGGGGGGGGGGCTAGTGAGCACGCTCATGAACTGTTTGCTGTTTGCCGAGCCTCGCAGCGGAGTTACTGCGGGAGGCATTAAGCAGACCTTTCACGCGATAGCAGACGCGAACAGGTACAGTACAGGAGGGGTAAGTTAATCGATCGCAGATGGCGTCGTGTTTCGCGGACGGATGATATACAAGATATTAACACCTGATAATGTCGGTCGCGAAATATATTACTGTGACTGTGACGTTTGTATGCGTGGGAAACCCTGTACATTATAAGACAAATACAAGTTTCATGTGTGGGACATATTCCATTATACTTTTAGAATTTGCTGCGGGCCAATTAAAAATGTAATTTGGATACCCCTGCTCCAATGGCTTGTAAAATAAACTTCTTGGAATACAAAGAAAACCCTAACCTAATTATAAATAATTTTGATTCTAAAAATGGAACAACAAAAGCAAAAAAAAAAGATATGTATGGAAATTAACCTGGACAATAATGTACATGTGTAATGTTTATAAATAATTGATTGTGACAAAATATCTAATTTCCGTCTCATGTTAGTAAACAGATGTGAAGCGATTACCTGTGTCTGTTCGTGAAACAGTTAGTGAGCTGATGCCTTGTTAGGATCATGTGCTGCCACCTTGTGTTTTACAGAGGTAATGCGGTGCTGCGAACCACTCACCTGTTGGAATAAAAGAGCACGTCGATGAGCGTGGTGGCGATGGACGGCAGAGTGTCCGGGTCCAGAGACATGACACAGAACTGGTTCTTAGGGATCACCACCGGGTGGACCGTGGGCTGGATGGCTGCGGAGAGAAAAGGAAGCATTGGTTTGTGGGAAAAGCTCAAAGTGTTTTCAGGTGAAAGCCTCCACAGATATATCAAGTGTGTTGACTAGCTGTTTGTTTAAGATATTTTTCTATTGAATTAACCAAAAATAAATGTTAAGAAATGTATTACCTAGCATTTAAATGGTCATGTCCGGCACTTTGGGGCCCAAGTATACAAATTGAGAAAACTTTTAACAACTTCATTTTGGTAGTACATATTTTGTTAACTTTTACTTCATTACTGAAAAAAAGCACAATGATTCTAAGACATGTTGTGAGGTTTTCTCGCTCCATGTTTCATTATTTTATTCGTAGGCCTTAATCGAAAATCTGAAAAAAATCACATCCCTCTATTAATGCACACAAGTTTGACTAAGTATGTTTTAAAGTGTTGCACAAGTAGAGCTGCATTTTGATCACTATTGTGCCAAAAGTTTGTCAGTGAGTGCAATCTGTAAAACAAAAGCTTGTGAACATTTCCAAAGTAGTCAGACATGTGTCAAGTAAAATCCTTTTTGTTCTTTGATGTTTTCATAAAGCCGTGATCTTGAAGATGCAAAGATATGAAAGATTGTGAAAGGGTGTCGATATATTCCATAATTGTTCTCTCTCTTCGTACAGCATGTTCTGTACTTTGAACAATAACTTCCTGTGGAGGACACAGCATGTTTGTAACCCGGTGCGGACCCAGCCTGTTCACATTGTTTCTTTTTGTCATATAATACAATATTTGTTTAAGCCAAACATAGCTTTGTTAAGATCATCAGGAGTCCTTCAACAGCAGGTCCCTTTAGCTATAAAACACATATTCTATTTTACTCTTATTTTCTCCCATGGAGCTACTAAAAAAAGAAAAAGAGAAGGTGTCTTTGCTTTTTAGAGGAACACTGAATGAAAAAGAGGCTGGCAGGAAGAGCACATTAATACATTCACAAAGTATTCGTTTCTAAAGTGATTTATTAAACTGCTTTCTAATCTAAATGTAAAAATAGGTATCTAATGTAATATCTTAAAGCATTTGTGAATTGAATACTGTATATAATAAATGTTCATATAGCCTATTTATGTTAAGGCCTTGCTAATCTGGTAATGTGACCACCTTACATTCAAATATTAACTGTTGAGAAACAATGTTTTTAAGAAACAGCAATAATTCATGTTTCACTTGCATCTTATTTTCGACCTGTGACTATACAGTATTTTAAGTTCACTTCCTTTGCTCAGAAACCTGAAGGTGGTGCTAGAGGATCTTAAAGGGGCCCTATTTGGCTTTTTTGTGGTTTCCCTTTCCTGTAGTGTGTTATATAAGTTTTTGTGCATATAAAAAGGTATTTTCTTTTTTTTTTACACACACACACACACACACACACACACACACACACACACACACACACACACACACACACACACACACACACACACACACACACACACACACACACACACAGTGTGAGTGTTGTATATTTATACACACAAAGCAACAACCTTTGTTGTTGGAAAAAAAGAAAAAAAGAAGTTGTATTGTAGTGTTTATTTTAGTGTTGTTTTATGCTTATCCACATTTTGATTTCAGAGCACAGGACAGGAGAATGCTGGGCACAACATAAAGCTCAACAGTGAAGCTGGCAATGCTGAACAAAACCATCTAGAGTTATAATATTTATTCAGCTAAAAAAAGTCAAATCCCTATGAAAATGTAATTACAAATATATTGCACATGGTTGGTATTTAACAACAAGGGGTGTTATAGTCTGTGTTGTAGTGTGTGATATTGGTATTTATGGAAACATTTTACACCTTTCCTTCAAGTATTATATTTTAGTTACTTGTGGGCTACTTAACACGAATAATCACAGTTACTATCATTTTACT